TTGATTGTTTAATATATATATATATATATATATATATATATTAACGAGTTTAGAGTAGTTTAGTTATTCTTCAGTCTCTCTTGTTCATTGAAACATAATTAAAAAGTATTCCCATTATACTTAAAATAATTAAAATGTAAATATAGAAACAAAATGCTTTTTGTCTGAAGAAAACGTGAAACATTAAAAACATCCTTCTCTATCAAGTTTTGAGCAAACCATCACCAAATATGGGATGGTGTAATTGACGTGAGATATTGATAATATCAAGTTTTGAGCAAACACATTAAAACATCGAGTTTTGAGAATTTGAGACAAGAAGAGACTTGCTTTGGTAATTGATGTTGTGGATGGTGTAAACTTATCATCTAGTTCAGGGATATTGATTCCTTTTTAAACTTATCAATTCAATTTTATTTTCAATCCTAGTAAACTGGAGCCGACGTGGGTTAGAAGTTGGCTAAAACAGTAGGTCTGTCCAGCCAGAATATATTGTGCAGTGAATTTCAGTTTTGGGTTCAATTTCAACTTTCTATTGTGTAAATGCTACAAGGATATTTTAGCTATTTTCAAAGAGCCTAAGATTCTTTCGAGTTTGAGCCAAACCCTTTTATTGTACTCACTACCTCTGATTAAGCCAGGAAGCTCAGTAAGTTCCTACAGTTGCTGGTCTGCCGAGAACAACACATGGCGTGCAGATAATTATCCTTTTTTGCACTGATTGGGGGTCATGCTCACCTCTTAATTGATGTAAATTTTTTGAGGTTGCTAGTGTAGTAAAACCCAAAGACATGCAGATTCGATGGATTAGTTAACAGAGAACCTTACATCACACCTGGATTGAAGCTTATACTATTGCACTAAAAACTCTGTTTTCACACACTACTTACTTCTTGATGTTGCATTTACAATTTTATTTACAATCTGTCATTGAGAGTTGGTTGGTGTTATTATGATTTCTCTCCCCCTTTCTTTTTCTCCCAAAGATAGTTTAAGGATATTCATTAATTATATTTATTTTTGTAGGCGAGTAGAGTCATAGAGCTGCACGATGGGTCGAAGCAGAAATAGAAGACGGAAGCAGCAGAAGCTTGTTAATCTGGATTGGACAGAGCTGCCTCGTGGTATCCTTGAGATCATCTTTGAGCGACTGACTGTGACTGATTGTATATCTGTTAGTGATGTTTGCAAAGCCTGGAGACATGTTATTGCACAAGAACTTGCTGGTTGGCAAAGCCGTGGTGTGCCATGGCTCATGATGCCTGGCAAAGATAGAGAGGTAAGAACTTGTATTAGCATACTACAAAAACAACATTGGGACATTGTGCTTCCCGAGGCTTATGGAAGATATTGTTGGGGATCATATCAAGATTGGTTGATTCTAGTAAAACATATTGGTTGTTTCTATCTTGAGATTAGCTTGTTGAATCCGTTCTCTAGGAAAAAAACTGATCTTCCCAAAACATGGTACTTTTATCATAAGATTGTTCTCTCGAGGCTTCCCATCCTTAAAAACTATGTTTGCATGCTTGTTCATAGTGAATGTCGGGAGCTTTCTTTTTGGGTCCCAGGAGCTGAATCATGGCTTAAACATAAACTGGATGGTGAGCCATTTGAGGATGCTGTCTTCTGTGATGGAAGTTTCTATCTTATAAGCAATGATTATAACATTTGGCAGATTAAGTCTGCTAATATCTTTGCTAGCATTAGAACATATGATGCTTATGGGGTAAAAATAGATTGTCATGAAGTAATAATGTCAGAGGAGCAGGAAAATAGTGGTGTGTTGAAGTATCTTGTGGAATCTTGTGGGGAGCTTCTTCTTGTTTGTAGGCTTTATAACACCAAAGCGGAGGCTATTCTTGAAACACATGATTTCAAAGTATATTCATTGGATTTTAGCCTGATGTCCTGGGAGAGGGTACCTGATTTGGGGGATAAAATCTTATTTATAGGCAAATGTTGTTCGCGATCTGTTTCTTCGATGGAACTTGGTGTTGCGATGAGGAATCGTATCTATTTCTCTAATGATCATGCTGCTCCATGGTGGAACGAATGGGATTCCGACCATCTTTATGGAATTTCAGCTAGGCTTAATCTGAACAATGCTGGAATAAAGGATTGGGGCGTGTTCAGCCTTGGGAATGGAACTCATAAGGCTTTTTTGCTTTCATGGCAATCGAGACAGATGGGGACCGATTTGGTTAACTTGCCCCCAATGGTGGTGCTGTAGGAAATTGGCTGTTAACCGATAGAGTAACTAGTAAATGTAGCTCATCTATGGGGATCGTGGCATGGCAGGGATTCTCTTTTTGCTATTTTGTTCCAGTTAGCATATCACAGGGGAGGAGCTTATTTCAGTGATGATGAGAGTTTGAAGTTGCTCCATGTACAAGTTAGACGTGCAGCTTACTAGCAGCATACCTTTTGTTAGTAAAAAAATATCAGACAGATTATATCATAATTAGTGAAACATGTCCCTGCGTGGTCGGTGCTTGCAGTAATTATATTTTAGAATTTTGGTCGAATGCAAATCCAGCCTACCTTTACATTAACAAAGCTTTCTTTTATTCAAAGTTGTTTGGACGTCGAGACCGTTTCTCATCGAGTCATCTGTAATGGACAATATATCTCTTATGTTTTGAATGAGAAAACTGGAATGTCAAACTCCAATTTCAGTTTTCAACTAACAAAGCTTTCTTTTATTCAAAGTTGTTTGGGCGTCGAGACCGTTTCTCATCGAGTCATCCGTAATGGACAATGTCTCTTATGTTTTCAATGAGAAAACTGGAATGTCAAACTCCAATTTCAGTTTTCAATGAGAAAACTGGCTTTGACCTTTTCAGTTTGGCAATTAGTAGAGCTGACCTATTTTGAGTAGAGTAGGTATTGTAGAGAAAAAAATTAAGACATCACACCATACATAAAGATTAATTTTAAAAATAAAATAAAAGGTATTTCGCAAATGTGAATTATGCCAGTTGGGTTCGTCCATTTTCAAATCATTCTTTTTCTAAATTAGATTAATTTAGAATAATTTAGATCATCAATTATATTAAAAATAATAATTTTCATGTAACATGAATGCATGTTACTACAAAAGTGATAAATTCATAATATGTGAGAGAAATGTGAACTCTTATTAAAGAATTAAAATAAACAACATAAAAATCTGCTTTCTTTTCATTTATTTAAGAATCATATTTGTTAAAAAATAAATATGAATATAATAGTGACGTAAAAAGTTAAAAAATGAATATACAACGATTGTTAGTAGAAAAATTTATTCTTAGGGTAGGCGACCGTTGGGTTCGATTAATCAAAACATGGGGATCTGACTGAGGGATGATAATGGGCCAGATATGGCAATATTAAACAAATTCACACATGTATTAATGAATTTTATTGATGAAGGGTTTTTAATTAATTATATTTTTTTTTATAAAACAAAAATTAATTTCCTTTTTAATCTTTCACCGTCTTCATCTTAACCCTCCCTCCTTACCTTCTAATCTTTGGATTCTCTCCCCACTTGTCTGCCATCTTTGTTCTCCTTCCCTCTCTGATCTAATCCAGAGGGGGAAATAGCGGCATTTTTATTCTTTTTTTTTATAAATTTAAACATTAAAAAACTCGGAACACGTCATTCTCATGGATCCATCCAGTTACAGCCACAAGACGTCCATCCACCGGCGCAGTTTAGCACGACCCGCGAGGTCAGCAGCCGGTAACTCCCGCGGGAGTGCGACACGTGTCGGTAAGTTCCATTTTTAGGGCTTGAGGTCAGCGTGCGTGGGCTTGAAGCAGCAGCTGCTTGTTTCGTTTTTGTTTGTCTTTCTCTTGTCTCGTGGTGCGCTCGCGTCCCCCGACTATTGGCGAAAACTTCAAAATTCCATTTTTGTCCTTCTTCCTCGTCCTCTCTCTCTCTCTCTCAGGCATATTAAGATTATAGCCGGTGCTAATTTAATGGCTGCTGCTAAACCCTAGCCGCAATTTACTGTAAAAACGATAAACATGGCCAGGACCTGTGAGTTCTTTCATCATTTTCCAATTATTCAATTTTCTGTGTGTTGCCATTAGAGCACTGAAGATTTTGTACGTTTGTTTTTTGAATTATAAAATTAAATTCTGAATTTTCCTCCAATTCATTTTCCCCTTGATCCTGTTTGGACCCCGAGAAAACTGAGGGGAGGAGAAAGGACAAGGGAATGTGAAATTTACATATTTTGTCACGTAGTTTGTAAACATTTACGTTAATTTTGCCGACTAATTTTGCTAAGCTTGATTGAGTTGTTCTATATACTTTCACTGTGAACCAAGTCCATGGAATATGTTTAAGTTGCTGTTTTGATTTTGTGTTCTTCTGTATTTATCCGAAACCAACAGAACAACGTTCTGTAGATGGTTTATGAAACTAAGTTGTATGCATTTCAACCTTGAGATTTCAGGTCATGATGGTCATTTTTTTGGGTTTCAGAGTTTTGATTGGGATGGATCAGTGTTGGAATCATAATTGGCTTTCTATTAGGCATATTGAAGTTTGAATAAATTTTTCCTGTGCTGTGGATAGTATTGGGCATATATTGCTCATCCTTGTCCAGAATGGCAGAGGACAGCCAACGGATTGGTGGGTTTTCTTCTGGTCTGGCCGTGATATTGAATGACGAGGATAGTAAAGAGAATTCGTCAAAAACCCATCTTGTTTCATACTGTGATGATTTTGGCCATCAATCAGTGGAGCGGACCTTAGAATATGTTCTTGGTCTCCCTAACAAATCTTTTGGTTTGTTGCCCAGTCCAATTGATAGCAATCTAGTTCGCTGCATTATACAGAAAGAATTCTCTAAATTGCATGCCAATTCAAGTGCTTTGGTTAGAAACAGAGATGGAGTTTATATTCCTGGGAATGGCTGTGGTCCCCACATTGTTGGTCTTGATGAATTCAGTATTCGTGGTGATATTAGACCTATTAAGCCACCTTTGCTTGTAGAGAGCTTAGCAATGTTCAGCAGTGCCAGAGCTAATGCTTTTGTGTGGAAAGGTAAATGGATGTATGAAGTTATTCTAGAAACTTCAGGTATTCAGCAACTTGGATGGGCAACCATTTCTTGCCCTTTTACTGACCATAAGGGTGTAGGTGATGCTGCTGATTCGTATGCATTTGATGGGAGGAGGGTTAGAAAATGGAACAAGGAAGCTGAGCCATATGGTCAATCTTGGGTTGTTGGTGATGCCATTGGCTGCTGCATAGATTTGGATTGTAATGAAATATCATTCTACAGAAATGGTGTCTCACTTGGGGCTGCATTTCATGGCATTCGTAAGATGGGACCAGTATCTGGATATTATCCTGCAATTTCTCTTTCTCAGGGTGAACGATGTGAATTAAATTTTGGGGCCCGCCCCTTTAGATTTCCCATTGAAGGCTACCTTCCCCTTCAAGAACCTCCATCCTTAATTCCGGTTGCTACTCAGTTGCTGTGTTGCTTGTCAAGGCTATTGGGTATGCACTCTGTTGACCAGGCAAAGCATTCTTCTGTTCAAAAATGGAGGCGACTGAAGAGGTTTGTTTCACATGAAGAACTTTTTTATCCTGCTTCTCATGGGATATGTGAGGAATTTTTTTCTGTACTTGGAGTAGATGTTTGGAGCATAGAGTACATTGCCTGGGGTCCATTTCTGTCATTCATGATGGAAGTGTTTGGGCAGCAGGTGCCCCATGATTATTCAAGCTTAGATAGAGTTCTTGATGTCTTTCTGGAATTTGAAGGATCACATTTGCTGTTTGAACATTTCATAAATGCCCTGGCTTGTGGTTGCAAAATAGCTCCACTGGTTCTAAAAGAGTGCCCATGTTCAGGGTCATACCCATACCTCGTGTTGGCATGCCATATCTTGAGACGACAAGAGCTTATGGTGCTTTGGTGGAAATCGCCTGATTTTGAATTCCTTTTTGAAGGGTTCCTATCACGGAAGAATCCGAATAAGCATGATCTTGAATCCATGATGCCTTCTGTTTCGTGGCCTGGTTCATGTGAGGATGTGTCATATGAAAGCACCATGGTGTTGACAACTAAAGCTTTATCTGAAGCAGTCAGTAAGGTACATATTAAGCTAAAGAGCTTGATTTTCTTTTATTGCCATAATTTAGTTTGTCTTACTTGTTGGTTGGTATTGTCCATATTATATTATTTCTAGAATGTGCAAGGGGATGAAGAACCTCGTTGAAATTGTTAATCATATAATAAGCGAGAGTGCAAGTATATAGAAATATTTGTAACATTGAACAAGAAGTATATAGAAATATTTGTAACATTCAAATTATATTATTTCTAGAATGTAAAAGTTGGGCAAGGGGATGAAGAACGTCTTTGAAATTGTTAATCATATAATAAGCGAGAGTGCAAGTATATAGAAATATTTGTAACATTGAACAAGAAGTATGATGAATGTCACAATTTTCCTCATGGACGTTTTCATTAGGGCAAGTAAAAACCATATAATTTGAGCTTTAATGTTCAATTAAACCATGTACATTGGCAGCATGCACACATGAATCTCTCTCTCTCTCTTGTATCAGATAACATGGGCATGTGATCCATATGATTCTATAAGTAGGATTCTACACTAAATCCCATGAAACCTGAATAGATGAAGATGTAGATAAGGACATATTTCTTGCTTTTGTTGAATTGATGAAGGTAAAGGTATATTTCATCTACGTAAGTCATGCTTGGGGACAAGTTGAGTTGATAAATATATAGATAAGTACATATTTGTGCTTATGTCATAGGAAAAATTTAGTTTCATATTCCTGTATTCCAATATGAAAGTATTGAATCCATGTTTATTTATTTGGACAAAAAATCTATGCTAATTTCATTTTGTATTTAAAATTTAAGCTTTGAATTAAATAGTGAATCTCCTCTTATGGTGTATGCTGTGAATTGAGTTTGGAGGGGAACTGCTTTATCTTTGATGTGAAGTTGATTAATTAGTATTTGAATTTTTAATATGGATATATACAGTATTTTACATCATCAATGTTTTACTTGGAGGTGGACAATATTTAACATCATCAGCTTGTTTTCTATGGGATTCCCTTGATCCATTTTAAATTGTATTGACAAGTCTAATTACAGTAATGTTGATCATTTAGTTGGCGACAGATAGATTTGGAATTTCATATCTGAGGACACTTTTTTTGTTGTAATATTTATAGCTTATGCTGAGCAACATTTACAGTTGTGAAGTTCCACACTAAATTTTTGCTGATAATCCATGTTATATTTGCAGATTGAGGAGAAGCATAGGGATCTCTGTCGCTTGGTCATACAGTTCATACCACCTGTGACACCTCCCCAGTTGCCTGGTTCAGTGTTCAGAACATTTTTACAGAACATTCTACTAAAGAACAGAGGAGCTGACCGGAACCTTCCACCTCCTGGAGTTTCAAGCAATTCCGTTCTTGTTTCTTTGTATACAGTTATTCTTCATTTTCTATCTGAAGGGTTTGCAATGGGGGATATTTGTGGCTGGTTGAAGAGCAATGAAAATGGTCCTGATGTTGGTTTTCTTCATAGGGGTGGTCAACGAAGCTTCCCCGTGGGTTTATTTCTTAGAAATGATCCTCATCGAAATGACAATTCTAGGCTTGGAGGATCGTTTAGTCATCTCTCGAAGTCAAACCCTGTAAATGATGAGGAAGCAGAAGTAATTCGGTGGGAGGAAGGCTGTATGGATGATGAAGAAACCAGAGTGACTCATTCAAGTACAAAAAAACCATGTTGTTGCTCATGTTATAATGATGATTTTACAAGAATCTCAAAGTATCCAATTAGATACACAGCCAAAGGTTCTCGTGTCCATTGCAGTCCTATTCCAGAGAGATCTGCTCATGTTGCTACAGAATGCAGTACTGGAAATTTGAATGATGAATTGGCAGATAAACCTAGCTCTAGTTATCAATCTGAATCTGAGTATAGTTATTGCCCAGTGCAGCAATTGAGGATTGTACCAAGGGAAAATAATATGTCTTCAGCCACACTCAGAGAAGAAGAACTTCTAGATGTTCTGTTGCTGTTGTATCATATAGGTCTTGCACCAAATTTTAAGCAGGTAAGGAGATAATGGGCAAGATCCTTTTTTTATTTAAAGAATACAAAGTTTTGCTGATCAATGGTTTTGTTATCCTTAACCTGTTGTGCTCAATATCTATATCGTTGGTAGTCATGGTCTGATGTGGTTGTCTTTAACAGGTTAGCATTCTTAGCAGATAACATTTGTTAAGGCTAAAACTTAAAATAACTTTGGAATTGTGATATTCTGTTGGTTGATTTGATGATACTGTTATTTGCTTGGTTTTATGTTTCCTTGTTCGTTTTTTCCCATATATGTTTTGATTTTAACAGTAACACTGTCAGGTCTTTTGTTCCCTGCCTTCTGGTTGTGTGCTTTTATTTGTTGATTTATTTGTCTTGCCTTCTATGTGAACTGACCTAAACGTTCTAGGTGTGATCATAGTCTTCTTACTGATTAATCTGAAACGTAGGTATATATTTCATGATATGTGCGCATGTGTGTGTATTTCAAATGCTGTAAGATTTTTGAAATTTTAAAATCCTGGTTGCAGGCATCGTACTACATGTCTCACCAGTCGCAGTCAATATCCCTCCTGGAAGAAGCTGATAAACAAATAAGAGAAAAAGCTAGTAATGAGCAATTAAAGCGTTTGAAAGAAGCCCGCAACGGTTATAGAGAAGAAGTTATTGATTGTGTCAGACAATGTGCTTGGTAAGATGACCTTGAAGATTAGCTTGTTTCCATAATTTATACATGTGCTGTTAAATTTTTTTTGGCTACAAGTGTTCAGAAGAATTAACTGTCTTTTACTTATATATTTATACAGGGGACACACATTTTGACACA